GGCCCTCTCGCAGTCAGGTCTGGATGGCATGCGGACGAGTTCTCTGGCCTTTACCCTGCCTTGGACAAGCTGAACAGCTCAGCTCTTTAGATGGAGATTTACATGACATATTTTTACTTCCTTTTTTTTTTTTTTTTTTTTAGAACTGAAGGACATTTTAAAAAATTATTATTTGGTATTACTTGGGCGCTTTACTGAATTTATTAGGATGACATAGGTTAACCAAATATATAGGTTCCAGATGTACAATTCTATAATACATCATTTGTACATTGTGTTGGGTGTTCACCACCCCAAGTCCAGTCTCCTTCCATCACCATTTCTGTCCCCTGTACCCTCTCTATCTTCCCCCATCCTCTTCCCCTCTGGAAATCACCATACTGCTATCTGTGTCTATGAGGGGTTTTTGTTTTCTTACTCTTCTCACCCAGCCACACAACTCTGAACTGAAGTACTTTTAGAAATAATTCTGGATTGAATATACTAAATGAAAACCATACATCACTCTTTGACTTCCCAAACAAACTCTCCTGGATTGCCTCTCTCAGAGCAGCCCTTTCAGCCTGGGCTACATGGGAGGTACCTTGTCCCATGTCTGATCCTCATGAGGGATGCAGTCAGGCCGTGGGCCTCCAGAGCCACACCTACTCACCACAGGGGTCAAGTAAGGAGTGCTGTGGTCCCCAACAGTGTGCCCTCTGCTCCAGCAGCTCAATGAACCCAACAGAATGAACCCAACACAATACAACGAGGGGAAGATGCCCAGGGAACTGGGGGGAGCATGAGGAGTTCTAATTCATGGGAGGCAGGGTGAAGAGATTGGTTCGCAAAGATGATGATGATGAATAGGAATCTGCAGGTGGGTTTGGGGGGGAGATGGGGAGAGCATTCCAAGCACAGGGAGGAAAGCCCAGAGGCATAAAACCTGCAGAGGGTTTCATGAATGGTAGCAGTTCCCTGAGGCTGGAGCAGAAATTCTAAGGAGTGAGGTGATGAGGGTGATGAGAAGCATAGAGAACAGCTCTCTCAGGACCTTGAATGTCACCTATCAGAACATATGGTTTATCCTGAGGGCAGAGGGGAGGCTTGGAAAGACTGAAAAACCCAATCAGTTGAATCAGTCTGGAAGGAAGATTTAGGTGACAAGATATTCTAGAAGACATAAGCCTGGAGTGGGGAATGGGGAGGGCATAGAGCGGAGATCCAGGCTGGAGAGGGGTGCATCTCAACTGAGCGGCAACAGTGGGGATGGAAGCGATAGGACGATTTGAAGAGTTGGTAAAGAGGTAGGATTAACTGGACTAGGTCACAGATTTTATGACTTAAATTCAGGAAGGCAAGGTAGGAGGATGACTCCCAGACAGAAGATCCATGTATGCAAAGATACAGAGACTTGAAAGGGCATTGCCATGCTTGTGGAAACGGGAACAATTGTACCAAAGCCCAGGCTGTGATGGGGATTCCATTAGAGAGTTATTAACAAATCTATGTGGTCAACTGGATTATGGCTTCCAAGTATCATTCCCTGCCAATAGGCAGAGTATATACCTCGGACCCATTGATTTTTGGACTTGATCAAATGACTGGCTTTGACCCATGGAATATGGGTAAATGTGGCAGTCTGCCAGTCAGAGTGAAGGCTTTAAGAGGTACCACATCACCTCCTCCTTTCTCCAGCTCTCACCACAAAAATAACAAATAGCTCCTTCAGCTTGGGTCCTGTGATGAGAGAACAAATGGAGCAGATCTTCTGGCTGGCTGGCACCTGGAACAAGCCACAGAGACCATGCAGCTGCAACCGCCCTACAGCTGTCATGCAATGTGAACCATGAATAAACCTTGGTGTTCACAAGCTAAGACTTAGGCGGCTATTTGTTCTGCAGCATAGCTGCACTAAAAGCTAACTGATACACACTTCATATGTGGGATAAGGGAGCAGATGGTGAAAACCCTTAAAAGCCATGATTAGCTGTGCATATGAAGAGTCAACAAGGAATGTTGATGAGCTTTCTCATTCATCTCATCTAATCTCAGAGGTGGGGGCAGTCCATCCTCTTTCAGAGCCAGCCTTCTCCGTTCCCTCCGGCTCCTCTATGGCTCTATTGGCCATCCCCTCTCCAGCACTGAATCCTCCCCCTGAGGCCATATCTCACTTCTCTTTTCCTTTTGAAATTATTTCCTTCATTCTGTCTTCCTATAGCTACAGCGGAATCTTTCTCCTGACCTTCTTAAACTTCTGGAAAGAGTTGAATATTCTTACCATCTCTACTTTTTTCTCTCCCCCCTATCAACAATCTAGCTTGCCTGCCCCACATTCCACTGAAACTGCTGTATATACTTCAGTAATCTCCAAATTGCCCAAGGCATTTTCCAGTCCTCCTCTTCCTAGACTGCTCAGCACAATTTAGCCTGAGAGTAAATTCATTATCTCCTCACCTCAAACATTCTCTCAGCTAGTGGTTCCATTATTTCTCCAGCAGAAAGCCAACACAAGATAATGAATTCGGTTTCAGCTCAGCCTTTGAGCACTCAAAAAGAGATATGCACAAATGGCAGTTAAACAATGAGTTGAGGGCCCAAACCAGAGATCTGAACTGGAGATAAGGATGGCTGTTAGAGAGGTAGCATTTAAAGCCACAGGTCTGGGTGAAAGTGCCTAGTTTTCAGAGGACAAATACCAGGCTTGAAATCCCAGGTAATAGAGAGCTCTCCTGAGCCAGAAATTCCTATGCCTAAGGTCACAGTCCCAACCATCATTTAATTGCTTCCCTCCCAGGTTATGGCTCCTAGCAACCTCCACACCACCATCTTATTTCATATTCTGCCCCCTGCTCATGTTGTCTTCTCCAAGAACTCTTAAAAATCCACCATGAAACAAAAGGTAAAGATACCACTGCCCGGTCAAAATAAAAAAGGCTGACAATACCAATTCTTGTCAAGGATGTGGAATAAGCACACATCTAATACATTGCTATGGAATGAAAAATGGTATACCCTGTGACTCAACAGTTCTACTACTAGGAAAAAGCAAATGTCCACAAAAGAATTCTATAAAGAAATAACAGCCCAAACTCAGAATAACCGAAATGTCCATCAATAAGAGATTAAGTAAGCAAATTATGGCACATTCAGACACCAGAACACTACTCAGCCACCAAAAGGTACCAATCGCTCATATACCCAACAACACAGGCGGATTTAAAAGACACTCTGTCCAGTGAAATGAGCCAGATGTGAGACATACAATATGATTCCATTTACATGAAGTCCAGGAACATGCAAAATTAATCAGTGGTGACAAAATCAGAAAGTGGTTACCTAGAAGGGCAGAGGGAAAATTAACTGAAAATGGGAACTGTCTAGGATGATATAATATTTTATATCTTATTTCGGGAGGTGGTTACAAAGGTATAAACAACTGTCAAAACTTGTTAAACACTTCAGATTTGTGGGATTTTATTGTATATAAATTACACTTTTAAAAGTAGAAAAATGAAATACTTTTTAAAACTTTATTGATTGATTGATTGACCTGAGAGAGGAAGGAAGAGAATTTGTTGTTCTACTTATTTATGCATTCATTGGTTGAGTCTTATATATGCTCTTATGGGGGTGAGGGGATGGGGATCCATATAGGACTATATGCTAATCAAATGAGCTATGAGCTGTCTGGCCAGGGCAAAATCCTTTAAAGTATCTGTAAAATAAACACTAAAATAAAAATAAAGGGTAGAAAGCATTCATTTCAAATACAATTATATTTATACTATGAATGCACCTAGATAAGTGCCCAGTCCCCTCCCCCCTCGCCCCCCCCCCCCCATTTAATGCTGCCCCCTTTCAGCCACTCCTCCTGGACCTCTGCCCCATTTTTATAACATCTGTCCATTAGCCATTTTATGGCCATCGTAAGATTTGGGCGCACACACCTTCAACCAGACAGAGCTGCCTTCAAACTCAGCTGCAATTTAAGAGCGGTACACCCATGAGTGAACCTTCTCTACCTCAACTGTGAAATGGGTTCATGATATCTACCCTACCCTGCTGGGCTGGGCTGGGCTAAGAAGGGGCAGCGTGCTGACTAGCTCCTGAGGAATCTGTCTTTTTTATTTTTTTACCTCAGCCTATGAAACAACTCACATCTGAAGGTCCCCTAAAGTCCTGGAAAAGCGCAGAGGAAGAGACTCACTGGCCTCTTCTGCCAGAAAGGTAAGGAGGCGGCCCTTGGGCCCTGGCGTTAGGGAGCTACGTGAGCTGGTGCTGGGAGCTGGAGAAATGACTGCTTAGAGCACCGCGGCCAGGGAAAGGCACTCCCTCACCTACAAGTTAGCACAGTGGTCAGCAAACTCATTAGTCAACAGAGCTAAATATCAATATCAACAGTACAACGATTGAAATTTTTTTTGAGAGCTATTTTTTTTAAACTTAAACTTCTCCTAACGCCACTTCTTCAAAATAGACTCACCCAGGCTGTGGTATTTTGTGGAAGAGCCACACTCAGGGGGCCAAAGAGCCGCAGTTTGCCAACCACTGAGTTAGGAGATCCCGTCTAGCTACTGGAGGATCTAGCCCAAATCACTTTGCACACCTCTTGACTCAGTTTACCCAGCCTGGATCTGAGGAATTTGATATCAAAACAGCCCCTGGGATTTTCCAATATAAAGAAGGGAAGCCAGAGCCTTGCCCCCAGGGGCCCCCTTCCCCCACTGTGTTGGTCCTTGCGCCAGGATCCTAGAAACACAAATTGAAATCTCCTGGACCCCTAAACCTTAGAGACTCTTTCCCTGTTTCCACCCTGCCTTATTTCATCATCAAACACTTGTTCCTTGGAACAATAACTGGGGTTTGCACCTGCCCCCCATCTGGTAGGGGAGGTAAGGTACACCCAAAGATAACTCCAAACAAGGGCTTAGCATAGCCAAAGAAGCACAGAAGCGGAAAAGAATATCCATCTCCTATTACCCTCTCCCCCACGCCCCGAACACAGGCGCCCTCCACACCTGGCATGTCCTTACTCGGAGCAGTATTCCTTTTTCCGAGTTGTGGAAACTGGGGCTGAGTCTGGCAAAGCATCTCCCAGCCAGGAGGCAGCCAGGAGGCAGCCAGGAGGGCTCCTCCGTGCATCTCCTGCCTCCTGGGCCACACCTATTTCCAGGTGAAGGGAGAAGGCAGCAGGCGCCTGCCCACCGAGGAGCCAGAGAGGGGCCAAGGCCGCGGGAAGCCACCAAAGCAGCCGCCTGGCCCGGGCTCTGACACCCTCGCGCGGCCCTCTCCCCTCCCTGCCGGAAGATTGGGGAATCTCAAGTCGTTCTTCTTTGCCCACGCCTGACATTTTTTTCCACTTTACTCTTTCTTGGACGCCTTTCAAGAGTTTGTGCAATCCTTCTGTTTAGCTGTTTTTCTGCCATTTTCAAACGTGGGGTGGTGCCCCCTTCGGTTGAGAACGGGGTTATCTGAAGAGTTGCAGGGGCCCTTTCCCCTCCCATCACCCCAAATGCATTAGGCCCTTGGCTGCCAAAGTTACAAAGTCTGAAACTTTCCGCATGCCGGGCTTTTGGCTCGGGGCTGGGCTCTGCGAGCCCTCACCTCTCCTCCTGCGCTGCGGCGCCTCGGAGTTCATGTGCCCCTCACTCCGCCGCCCCAGCTCCTCGTCCCAGCGCCATCCTCTTCCCATCCAGTCCCGGGCAAGAGCCATGTCTCCCTCCAGCCCCCGAGACGGGGACAGACCCCTCGCTGCTTCTGACACTCCCTCGGCGGTCCTGCCCATATTCCCGAGCCTCTCCTCTCCGCCTCCTCCCCGCGGACGCGGTGCGGGCACCTCGGCCCCCAGCCCCCGAGGTCCCCGTCTGCAAGGCTGGGCAGAGGAAGCGACAGGGACCGGATGGGGACAGCGACGGGGTCGGGTATGGAAGGCAGCGACGAGAACAAAAGCAGGGACGCAAACAAGGCAGAAACCGGGCTGGCCGGAGCGGTGGCCCTTCTCCTCTCCCCACCCCGCCCGCGCCCCAGCCCGCAGCCCCCGGGCCCCGGCCCGCTCGCGGCCTCGGAGAGGCTCGGGCGGCGCCCCGGGGGACCCACCTGATCCGCAGAGCTGGGCGCGCTGGGCGATGGACCACGCCTCGGCTCCGGGCTGCGGGGGCGCCCTCGGCTGTCCGAACCGCGGCTGGGCCGCCTCCGCCCGAGCCCGGCGGATGTGCCGCCTGCGCCCCGGGCACACGCCGGGCGCTCTCCTCCAGGCGGCGGGCGGCGCGCAGCGGGCCGGGGCGCGGAGCAGCGGGAGCTCTGGCGGCGAGCGGCGCACTCCCCGCGCGGCACCGCCCGCAGCTATTTATGCAAAGCGGGGCCCGCCCCGGACACAGACCGCCGCGCTGCCGACCGCCCCGGGGCCGGGGCTCCTCTGCCGGGGCGTGCGAGGCTGCCGGCCTGGTTGCGGAGAGGGTGTTTGTTTCATTTCACTCAGGCAGAAAAAAGCCTGCAGCCAGCAAAAAAAAAAAAAAAAAAAAAAAAAAGGCAGCGACGGCGCCGGGGCCTCTGCCCCTCGGGCCTGCACGTGGTGGAGGTGGGGGTGGGGATGGGAGACGGAGTCGGAGGCCGGGTGGGGTCTGTGGTCACCCCGCTCCGCGAGGAGTGGCCTCGGCGCCCCGGCGCACAGCCTCGCTCGGGGGAAGCGGAGAGCCTGGGAGGTCCAGCCACCATTGTTTCCTGGGGAAGGAAGCGCGCACAGGCCGACCCCGACTGGCGGGCGGGCTCCAGCGCTCCCCGCCCGGGCCCCAGACCTGAGCTCCGGAAGTGAGGGGCTTTTCCCCGGGCACCTAGCGCGGTCCTGCCCCTGCTTGTTCACAGACTTAGAGATCTGGGAGCCCAGAGTTTCTAAAACTGGGTTCTCCACACCCCCCTGGAGCTCTCCACAAGAATTGTTTCGAAGGGAACTACTATATATATATAATTTCACAGTGGGTGCTTCTGTGCCCCGTGTGACAGCCATTCACTCTGGTGAGTGGATGTAGGCACATCCAACGGTCCTCACTTAGCTGGAAGGACGACAGTCATCTCAGTCCCAGCCTGGGGCTCAGGACCCTCTATTTGCTGGTGGAAATTCAAAACTTCCTTTTGCCAGGATCATTTCCACTGAACATTAATTTCGGAGACTAGGAGATTAGCTTCTTAAATATTTTAGTGCATTGGGACTGTAAGCTGACACCAAGAAAAGTGAAGCAGAGCATGGGCCTGATGAATAATGTCAACTTGAGAAACATCCAAACCTGTAAGAATTTTTATGAGTTTATTTGAGCTGAGAACAATTGCCAGGGAAGCAAACTCTCAACAGATTGTGAAAATGCTCCCAAAAATGGCAGTTTTGCACCTTATTTTGTACATAATCAAAGGAAGAGGTGCTAAAGGGGTTACATCAAATTCACTGGTGATAGATTAGGGGGAGTGGAGAAAGCAAAGTGGGGAACATCTCTGGGATTTGGATAAAAGTAAAACATACTTTTTTACACAGGTGGATATAGGTTCATTAACAGCAATTAGCATGATAATAACTGACGATATTTGTAGTCTCTGGTGAGGTGGTTGTATTTTGAGGGGTAGGGGTGTTGTTGGGGGGCAAGGGAATTATAATACTTTGATATTCCAGTTACTGTTATCTTTGTAGAAGAAAAAAATAAAGACAACAGGCAGGTTCAGTTAAGGTGAAGATTGATCTTTGTTAGGGAAAAATACAGGCCTAGGACATGACTACCCACCACGCACTGCTTTTCATTAGAAAGTTTTACTTGCAGACCATCCTATGTGGTTGCTTTAGGTCTCTGATTTGTAAGGCCCCATGAAGGCCTCCCCTGAGCTTGTCAAGTTTAGTATGTGGCCCCTTTTTCACCGCACTAATTTTTATTGTTTCATGCTAACAAGGAAAGAAAGGAACTGATGGAACTCTTGAAGGACGCACAGAGGCCCGTGGGGGCCAGGTGTCCTGTTGGGGCTTGGGAGAGTGAAGTTTCCTGATGGGTGCAGTGGAGGAAGGAGGTGGGAGAACAGAATCATCAGGCCCACATAGCGCCTCTGGAATGAGGAACGCCATAACAGTGAGCACAATGGGTCCTTTGCTAGAGTATAAATCGTGCCTTTATTGTCTTTGGTGAACACAACTGTAATAGTTCATTAAGTGAGTATCTCAGTAAATATGCATTGAGCGATGTCATAGGAAGTGCATTATCTCTATTTTTCATCATCGCATTTGAGAATGTATTGTTTAAATTGCTCAGCACATCAAACTGAATTATAAATGAGTTTTTGTTTTGTTTGTTTGTTTGTTTTTAAGAAAACAATGACTGCTCAGACAGAGGGTCATCACATACACCAAACAGTTGCCTGCAGGTTCGGGCTACTGATCAATGATCTCTCTCTCCCCCCTCAAGTGAGGATAAAAAAAAAAGGAAACGATGACTGACAGTGGCTTAAGTGATGGTACTCACTATGATCAAAATTAGATCTGATGACACAGGAAACATAAAACATGTAATGACTGTGTAAACTCTGCTCCCGTTAAACCTGATGTCATGGTCTTGATTTCAGCAACACATGGTCAATCACATTAGTTTGATGTTGCTTTAGTTTGATTTTATTGGTTTTGTGGTTATGTTTGTATTAGAAGATGTGTTTTGGTTTTATGGTTTGTTAATAGAACTGTGAGTGACAGGACTTCATGTTTAATTTTAGGTTTATGTTTTGGTAACAATAAAACAAACATAATTTAAGTCAACACTGGGTCTGGACTTTTGTTTTGTTTTTGTTTTGAGTGGAGCCATATAGTTCTCAAAATCTAACTAGCAATTCTATTGACTGAGTGAACTAGAAAACACCTTAAAGATTATATATATTGTGTTTGGTGTCAGTAATTCAAGGCTTACAGCTTTAGATACGTTATTCTTCTCTTCTGAGGCTCATTTGCCTATAAAGCAAAATGGGGATGACTGGTCTGTGGGAGAAGTAAAATCAGAATGAGATAACTGATGGTGGAAAGACTCTGGAGCCTACAGGAGTGTAAGGCTGAATATTTGTGGAGGGGGAGACAGGTAACTTTGACCGCTGGGCAGGCTTTGCTCCAATGTCTCACACATACCAGGGCTCACCGTAGACCTCAGCACCCCCTAACCACATCCCAGGAAAGAAAGCCAAGGCACACCGAAACCGGTTTGATTCAGTGGATAGAGTGTCGGCCTGCAGACTGAAGGGTCCCAGGTTTGATTCTGGTCAAGGGCATGTACCTTGGTTGCGGGCACATCCCTGATGGGGGTTGTGCAGGAGACAGCTGGTCAATGTTTCTCTCTCATCAATGTTTCTAGTCTATCCCTCTCCCTCTCTGTAAAAAAAATCAATAAAATATATTTTTTGAAAAAAGAAAGAAAGAAAGCCAAGGCATGCCAAAGTAACTTTGTTTACCATCTCTCTAGGTATGGCCAAAGTGTTCCGGGACCAGAAGACCTTCCTCCCTGTACCTCCTCCGTTCTTTTAACAAATATTTATTGGGATTCTGCTATCTGTCAGCCCTGTTCTCCAAGCTTAGGACAAAAAAGCCAACAAGCGAGAGTGTCATAGCCCTGGAAGAGGCATTAAACTAAGAACCGTTATCAGTGGAAGTGGAGTTCTTTTTTTTTAAACATACTTTTTTTTTTCTTCACGTTTTGATGGTGGTGTTTGTGTGTGTGTGTTAATTTATTTTATTGATTTCAGGGAGGAAGGGAGAGGGAGAGATAGAAACATCAATGATGAGAGAGAAAATCATTGATCAGTTGCCTCTTCAAACAAACCAATTAACTTTCCAAGATTTCCCAGGCTTCTGATGGGATCCACCCTGAGCCAATTCATTGCTCCAGGCTAGACCGACAGGCAAGCACCTCCCTGCATCACTCCAACTTCTGTGCTTCTGCCTACTCTCCCTTCCCCCCAACAATCCAGTATGGGAGGGGAAAAGGAGGCCGTTAATCCCCGGTGGAGCTCCCAGGTGACCATGCTTACAATGTCTACTTCCCTTTGCTCTCTCCCTCTATTAATATTAACCAGCTAAGTATGACCATAACAGAACCCCTAACTAATGATCTCAGGAAATAGAAGCACAGGGTGCA